AAATGGCATTTGTGCTAATTATTTCCATATAGCAAGTACAGATGGCACATTCACCATGGAGCTTTAACTGTGTTATTTAAAATTACAGAGAGCAGGAGAACCCAAAATAAATACAACCAGAAGCAAATGAATCCCACTGCATTTTAAATGAATAGCAATAGGCACATCTGAGCCAGGGGAAGAGCTAACCCAAGCAACTTTTCAATATAGTATCTTGTCTATGTATTTTCCATCTAAATACAAAAACCAAAAATACCTATAAACAAATACTGAACTACAGTTGGTATCTCTGTGTTTTGCTGAGGTATAGTTTAATAATTCTGAAACTACTTTCTGTATATTCCAGACTGAGCAAATGAGCACATACACTGAGACTAATAGGAGGTAGGTTTTATACTGTTGAAGAAGGGCCGATTCAAATAGGCAAAAAAGGGTCCAGCTTTGGTGGCATAGGTGTCAGCATAATGAACTGCAGTGCTGGAAGCCACACAGCCAACTGTGGGTTTGGGTTCCCAGGCTGGTCAGTCTGAACCATGCCAGGCATATGAGTGTGCCCAAGATCCTAATGAGCTGGAGGGCAGGGAGAAGGGGATTGTGACATGACAAAGATCCCTTCAAGGATGGTGCCTCGGTCTCTCGTGCATGTCCATGTGTTCTCATGAATAGACATGAAAAATTTTAAACAATATAGAAAAGGAAAAGATGAGAAGAATCCTTTGGTACTAAGACTAGAGTTGGAGAAAGCAGTATGAGAGCTTAGTTTTAAATGTCGGGGCCATCAGGTGGCATCATTGTGAAGGCACTGGACTCCCATGACCAACTGTGATTCAAATCCCAGACCTAGTGGCTTGAAATTCCGCACAGGGTGCATGTGTGTGCATGCCCAAAATACCAAGAAGGGATCGCGGTGTGGCCATCATCCCTGGAAGGTGATTTCTCACACTCTCTCTGTCTCCGTCACATACCCTATGGCAAAAAAAATTCTGAAAAAAAAAAACATGTCTTAAAGAAAATAGATCTAAAGGACATGATGGGATAATGAATGCTTTAAACATGGATTGGGTAACAGCATTTTACCAGTGTTGGAGCTCTTGATTGTGATAGCTATACTGTGGTTATACATGAGAATGTCCTTGTACTTAAGAAATATACACTGAAGTATATAAGGGTATAGAAACTCCCAGATGCCTCCACTTACTCTAAAACGGTTCAGGAAGAGGTATTCATGTTCATGTACACACGTACAGAGAGCAGTTACGAAGCAGTGTGATAAGATGCAAACAACTGGTGGATCTGGGTACAGGGTACGTGAACGTTCTTTGCACTCTTCTTACCGCTTTTCCTATCATTTTGAAATTACATCAAAACACAGTTACCAAAATAACTAGAGTCAAGGAGAGTTGCAGGTGGTTCCTTTAGGAATCTGTTCCGGTACTAAAAGAATGCATGTGTGATGACGAAGTGGAATGACATACAAAGAAAACAAGTGTTCAGAGTGAGCACTGATTGGGCTTTGGGTTATTCTGTGGGGTCAGTCCTAGAATTCAAGATCTGATCGCCTCATGGAAGGGCTAAATATTTGGCCAGTAAGAGCCACAGCAGCCTAAGAGTTGAAGGGACTTCAGAGAGGCACTAAAGACGTTGCACTTTACCTTATTCCCACTTAGGCGGCCGCAACCCTCATTGATCCAGTGCCACAAGTTAGCTAGGAAGACAGAGCAAGAATAAGGGCTTTATTGTATTAATTCCTATTTCTTTTTTTAAAAAGAAACGTTACATATATTTAAGGTATACAAGTGATGTTGTGGGGTAACATAGATAGTAAAATGGTGACTATCGTGAAGCAAATGAACAGACCCTTCATCTCACATAGTTATCCATATTTTCCTAATGGCCAGAGCAGAGCAGCTACTACCTCCTCAGAAGTCCTGAGTACCAGACAGGCTATTATCCATAGTCCTACAGTAGTTTAGATCTCAGACGGGGACAGCCTACCTATCTGCTGCTTTGTATCCTTGGACCCACATTTCCCCATTTCCTTCCCTCCACTGCTGGTAACCACTGTGTTATTCTCTATCTATGTATATTTGACTTTTATAAAAAGATTCCTCGGGGCTAGCAGGTTGCACAGTGGTTAAGGTGCTGGACTCCTACATGGCCAATTAAGGTTCCAGTCCTGGACCTGGTGGACTGAAAACCATGCTGGGCACATGTCCACGTGTGTCTGAAATCCTAACTGGAGAATGGAGGAGAAGGGATTTCTCACTTTCCCTCTCACCGACTCTCTCCAGTTGACGCATGTGCCTTAAGGCAGAAACCTTAAAAAAAAAAAAAAAAGATTCCTCATATAAATAGGATCATGAAATGTTTTCTTTCTGTGTTAGACTCAGTATTGTTGAATCTGTCAGTTCAATGCTACCTTTCAACTGTCCACCAAAAATGTTTCAGTGAGTATTCCTGCGAGTAAACTCATTTAAAAAGAAATCAACTGACTTAAAGACTATGAAGGTATCTTACTCTTACAAGAAAATAGAACTTCCTGTTCTATGTAAATAAAACATGACCCCCTAATATTGCATTGGATGCCTAGCTGCAGTTAGGACTACAGACATTCCCATTGGCTTCAGCAACTCTTCTTTGACTACAAAAGACTAGGTGAGGAACCAGCAGTCAGCGTAATGGCTATGTAGCTGAATTTCCATGTAGCTGACCGTGGTTCGAATCCCAGACCCAGTGGCTTAAACTCACGTTGGGAGCATGTGCATGCATGCCCAAGATCCTGAGAGGAGAATGGAGGAGAAGGGATTGCGCCGTGGCCATCCCCCCGGGAAGTGATTTCTTGCTTTCTATCTCTCTGTCTCTCTCTGTCTTTCTGGCGAGCACATGTGCCCTATAGCAAAAATCTCTCCAAAAAAAAAAAAAAGACTAGGTGAGGCATCATGGAGGACAAGGGAGGCATGTCTAAGAGGCTGGCTTTCTGAAACGAGCTCACAAGTATGTACAGTAAGAGTGAGGTGCAGTGGAGGGCTAAGTGTCAGACCTGCCGAGTTCCAGTGGTCCCCAAACCCCTCCCATTACACCTTGCTGATGCTCAGAAGAGCGATGTCCTGTGACATATCCAAACTACATCTCCACTGACTTATAAAACAGAAGTGATGCGCTCAGACAAGTAAGCTACAAAAAATTATGAATTTATATTATGCAAAGATAAAATTTAATCCCACCTCTAATGAGAATTTAAGATTGCTTCCCTGTGAAGATCGAAGTGAGGAGGTGTCGACTCTCCACGACCACAGTTCATTGCAACAACTAGTGACACCTAACACCTCCTGAGACTTAGCTGGGCCAGGCACTGTTGTGAGCAGTCTGTCCCAATAATCTCACATTGCTATGGATGCTCTCATGTGACCTGTCACAGCCAACTCAATCTCTATGAGACTCAACTGCTTCATCATAAAATTGGGAAAATAATAGCACCTATCTTGTAGTATTACTGTGGAGGTCAACTCAGTGCGTGTAAATCACATATGTAGAGCCAGCAGGGGGCATAGACGTTAAGGTGCTGGCCTCACACATAGCTGGCGGCAATTCGAGTCCCAGACCAGGTGGCTTGAAAATCACACTGGGTGTTTCTAAAATCGTGAGAGGAGAATGGAGGAGAAGGGATTGTGGCGTGGCCATCCCCCCTGGGGGGTAATTTCTCACTTCCTGTCTCATTATATCTCTGTCTCTCTCCAGTGAGCACATGCACCAAAACTAAAAAACAAATAAACAAACAAAATATAGCCATGCTACCACCTAGCACATAACATTCAATATATATCCACTGTTGCTATCACCCTCATCATCATTATTGCTTCTTTTCTGTAGTTTCGAAATGACATTAAAATTAAGTTACCCCAAATAGAAAGACAGTTACAGCTCTCTATTGTGGAAATCAGTACTAGTTATTTGCAGATGGTAGTGAAAGTATCTGTATACCAAAGTTATGACCATCTCTCCCCTAGACAACTGCAAATGCTTCCTAACTGGCACACCCATGTCCCCACTTCCTGGACACCGAATTGGTTCTCTACACTGAAACAAGAGAGCTGTCCTTGCTTCCCTTTGCTGAAGATAAGGAGCAAACTCATGAGCCCACAGAGCTGTGTCACCTCTCCAAGTGTCTTCCACTGCTGGTTCCCAACTTCCTGCTCCGGCTGCACCTGCCTCTTTCAATCCCAACAAGTTACGCTCCCTCGGTCATGTGGGTCCCTCAACATAGAGAGCCTGGGAGTCTCGTCGATTCCTCCTGGGCTAGGAAGTTCCAACTTGCCTTTCTGATCATGGCTCTCTCGCTTCCTTTCTGGAAAGCCCTGGATGTCCCAAGGCTGGGCAGAGCCTCTGTCATCTGCTACCTGGTGGCCAGCACTTTAGTTTTCAGTGCTCAGCCTCAAGCTGTGGATCTAAGGCTCACAAAGATGCTTCCTCCAGGAGCACACTGGCTGTGTCTGCCTCGCTCACTGCTGAGACCCTGGTGCCAGTTCAGTCCCTGGTGGCCCAGAAACATGTGCAATGATTGGACGAGACAAAGCCAACCCCCACAATCCTGCTTCAGTAACTGTAAGGTCCACCATTTTTCTCCATAAGATGTGGCATTTCCCCTGGCCATTTATCTGGGCTTTTTGTCTCTGATTTAAATGGGTACATCTAAAACGAATGAATTCTAGGATAAGCGCAACCGCCCCTGTATATATACCTGATGCGACATAATCTACACAATGTCAACACAGAGTTTACAAGTCATCAGCTGCCCCCATGCAAGAATCTTATTATTTACTTGTATATGAACAGGCATGATGTTGGGTTTTTGGCATGGGGTTGGCTTTCTGTTGTTGTTAATAAAGGACAACGAATCCAGAATAAACAGTATTTCACTGTAGTTCAAGTGCACCCACCTCCACCACTGATTTCAGCAGATCACCACCGGCAGTCAGCAACCTACCCGTCTTCCAATGCACTTACCCAGAAATCTATCTAGATTCTCTAAGACCACTTTTCAGAAAGCACCATAAATGCGATACCTGTCAGGGCTTTCCCTTCTTTCCTGTAGTAAACACCGAAGATGACGGCAGCAACTAATGCCACAGACACGAAGAGGAGCAGGATAATTAAACTGGGCAAGTAAACAGGGGTTTCTGGATTGAAACAAAACGAGAAACACAGCGTTAGAGATTCTTTTGCAAATCCGTTTTACAGAGTTTAGAAACAAAATTTTGTCCCCAGAATCAAAGGTATTGTTCAAGAATCACAGGTGGCAGAAGCCCCCCAGCCTTGTGTGTGCACTCATCAGAAAGCGCTCAGATTCTGAGAGCTGGATTCCACGGCCCAGTCCAGCCTTGCTTGGTCTGGCTTGGCCCTGCCAAGGCTGACCTAGGACCATGATGGAGTTTCTACATTAGAACACCTCCGATCACCCCAGTTCATCCTCGTTTCCCTCTAGTACCCTTCACATCTCTAGCTAGGTGGGCTCTGTAGGAAAAGGAAGGCCGATGTCATGTCTGTCCAGGTACCCGCAGTGTACCAGGGCTCTCTCGCTTCTTTTCTGGAAAGCCCTGGATGTCCCGAGGCTGGGCAGGGCCTCTGTCATCTGCTGCCTGGTGCCCAGCACCTTAGTTTTCAGCGAGGACAGAACCAGTGCCGCTGCAGTGCTTCTGCCTTGCGTCTGCTGCACAGTGTGGACACAACCTTCCTTCATCCTTCCTTGATCATGCCATTGCTGGAATCTTTACATTATAAACTCTTACAAAGAAATTTTAGGGGCCAGCCCTATACCTGGTGGTTAAAGTAGCTGGATCCCACATGGCCGACCATATCTTGGCCCCTAAAAACATAACAGATGCATATGTGTACATGTCCAAAATGCCAATGGGATGGAAACATGGAGAAGAAGGGACTGTGGAGTGACCATGCCTCAGTGAGGGGCGCTTTCTCCCTCTGCCCGTCCCCAGTCTCTGGTGAGTATACATATCTTCAAGCAATTAGAAAACTTGGGGAGGAGGACACCAGGCTGCATAGTGGTTAAGGCATTGGGCTCCCACATGGCTGACTGCAGTTCGAGTCTTGGACCCAGTGGCTTGAAAATCATGCCAGGCCCGTGTGCGTGTGTACCCAAAATCCCAGGAAGAGAATGGAGGAGAAGGGATTTTGGCATGGCCATTTCCCCTGGCGGGGGGTGGGGGCTGTTAGTTTCTCACTTTCCTAATCACTGTGCTTGTCTCTCTCTAGCGTGTGCACATGCCCTATGGCAAAAACCTTTTAAAAATTTTTTAAGCTTATTTATTTATTCTATGTGAGAAAGACTGAACAAGGGGCAAATGTGTCACACACTCTACAGGGTCTTAACACCGTGATCGACCCCAGCTTCAGCCACCCTGGTTAATGGGCACACAAGTGCCAGGCATGTTTGGGGAGTTCTCCTGACCCAGTCCGGTGACTTCCCACGGAGCTCCGCCTTGCAGAGTGTTGCATTTACTGCCGTGCCACCAGCTGGTCCCTTATGTCATAAACCCTTCTTTTCTTGACCTGATTTCCTCCTGCCTTTTCTCTCATCTTCTTTTTTTTTATTATTTAATAACTTTTCATTTCTTCAATTATTTTTAGTGTTCTCTTACTCAGTATTCTTTTTTTCTAAGTAGTCTTTTGAAAACTCTGCTGATTGTGTAATTCCATAGCCAGAATTCTTTTTTTTAATGGTGAAAAAGTGTGTATTTAGAATTAGCCTGCTGGACTCAGTTTAGATGATCCCAATTTTTTGGCAACATCCAAAGCATCAAAATCAGGAGCCGGCTGCACATAGGCCTTCTTCTCTCCGTCAGGCCTGAATAGAGTGTTGACCTTGGCCAGATCAACATCATAGAGTGTCTTCACAGCCTGTGTGATTGGCGCTTGTTGGCCTTGACATCCACGAAGAACACAAGTGTGCTGTTGTCCTCTGTCTTCGTCATGGCAGACTCGGTTGTTGGGGGGAACTTGATGATAGCATAGTGGTCAAGCTTGTTTCTCCTGGGGGCTCTTCCAAAGATATTTGGGCTACCTCTGCAGCCGAAGAGTCTTGGGCCTTCGGAAGGTGGGTGATGTACAGGTATTCTTATTTTTGTGGCTGTGGATGCCTTTCTGCACTGCCTTCTTGGCCTTCAAAGCCTTTGCTTTAGCTTTAGCTTTGGAAGGAGCTACCTTCTTCTCTTTCAGCACCATCTCGGCCCAGAAGGCTTTAATGTCCTATTTCTCAAAATGTCAAAATCTAAACCCTGATTTTCTTGTTTCTAACAATTATTTTAAAATTCAATTTTGTTTATTATTATTATCTTAAAATTTGTTATAGGACATACGCTCACCAGAGAGAGACAGAGAGAGAGAGAGAGAGACAAAGAAAGTGGACAGCAAGCCACCTGGTCCGGGACTTGAACCAAGCTTGTTCATGTGTGAGTCCATTGCTTTAATGGCCACACCACCTGTTGGCCCCTACCCTGATTTTCGTGGTCAAAGTCTATTGGCCTTGTTATTCTGAGGCCTACGTTCTCTTGGCTTATTAGAAAGATCTTCTTGGGGCTGGGTGGTAGGGCAGTGGTAACACAACTTGACAAAAATAGGAAAGGTCCTGGGTTTGCAACCTAAGCCCTCCCTGAGCATCCCAGTACCCTCCGTGATGTGGGCCTGCTGAGACTGGGGGTGCCGGGGGCAGGTCGCAGCGTGAAGACCCTGTTGGGTATGTGGTCCTTTCTCGTTCTCAAGGAATAAATAAACCGGACAAAAAGCAAGGTCTTCCTGCCACTTATCTGCCACTTACACTAGCTCTTCTGTCCTCCAGATCCTCACGCTGCCCCATCACCACCACATACCACCTGTCTTTAGCCATGTGTGTCAATGTTCGAAACTGTAGTGGGATTAATCCGATCTATAAACGTTCCGTAAATAATGACAGCTGGGCCGGCAAGTGCTGTGGCGGTTAAGGCAGGGCTCCCACATGGCTGACCGTGAGTCCCGGGCCTGGCGGTCTGCTTCCTCACTTTCCCTTTCTCTCTCTCTCTCTCGTTTCTCTCGGTCAAACTGAAAAGTAATAATAACACATACAATTAAATAAATAAATAATTCTTTTTAAAAAAATGATGAAAGCTATATTCTAACAAGCTGTCAGATCTGGTTGGTGACCACCATCCCACCATGTCTGGGTATATGGATGATATCACTAGTTATCCCTAATCTCCCCAGCCCAGTGTCAAAAATTATCAAGTAGACAACAGACGTGGAATGAAAATCCTAATAAAAATCAAATACGGAGCTGACTGCATAGGATGAAATGAAGAGAGAAAGATGAACCCCTTCAAATACAGCATTTGGGAGTGATCAAGATGAGCTAATGATACTGGGGCCCATCTACCAACCTTCAGGCACTTGTATGAATGAATGAATGAATTTTAAAATTATTTTATTCATTATCATTACTCTCTCTCTCTCTCTCTTTTTTTTTTTTACCAAAGAAAGAGAGAAAGAGGGAAAGTGAGAAAGCAAGCTGTCAGGTTCAGGCCCAAACCATGGTAAGCCATGTGGGAGCCCAGTGTCCCAACCACCATGCCATCTGCCAGCCCCTGCAGGCACTTGAACACATACCATTTGGTGGTTTTCTAGAAGGCAGAGAAGAACTGCAAATGACATCTGACTTCTCCGTCCCATGATGCTCCTCTGTCTTCCCGAGAACGGTACAACTGCAGAGGGAGAGTAGTTAAATGCTTTCGTTTTATATTCCTATTTAAGAAAACAAATGAACAGAAGACTTTTGCTAGCTCCTTCAGGAGATGAACCGGTCTTCTTGGGCGTTTGAATCCCTAGGGACTTCCACAGGGGAACGGACTACCTCAAAGGTGGTCAAATGAATGAACAGAAGGGCTTGTCGCCTGTGTCCTCTAAGAACTACTCTGAGAGCACAGTCAGCAAGAGCAGATCAGGGTCTTCTGCAAGAAGATTCCAGGCTGGCCCGACAGGCTGGCGGTGAAGGGAGCTGGATCCCACAGCTACCATTTGACTACCATTTGAATCCATCCCAATGGCTTGAAAAACACGCCAGGCACACATGTGTGTGCCCCAAACCCTATCAGGAAGGAGAAATAGAGAAGAGATTGGGGCACAACCATGCCCCTTTGGGGGTTGATTTCTTCCCCTCTCTCTCTCTCTCTCCCCCCCCCCTCTCTCCCCCTCTCTCTTTCTTGCCCTCTGCCTCTCCCTGGAGAGTGCATGTGCCATTTTGCAGTTGAAAAAAAAAATGGGGGCAAGGGGGTGGTGTGGAAGGCACTGGATTCCCACATGGCCAACTGCAGTTCAAGTCTCAGACCGGGCTGCTTTCTTTCTCACTTTCCCTCTCTCTCTGGTGAGTGTGCGTGCCCTATGGCAAATAAAATAATAATAATAATTAGTAAAATTAAATAATAATAAAAAAATGATTCTAGGCCCAGCAGGTGCAGTAATGGTTAAGGTGCTGGACTCCCACACGGCTAAATGTGGTTTGAGTTCCAGACTCAGTGGCTTGAAACTCATGCCAAGCGCATGTGCATGTGTGCCCAACAGCCCGAGAGAATGGAGGAGAAGGGATTACGCTATAGCCATCCCCCCCGGCGGGTGATTTCTCGCTTTCTGTCTCTTTGTCTCTCCAGTGAACACATGCACCTTATAGCAAAAATCTCTCAAAAAAAAAAAAGTAAATAAAAGATTCCATGACCAAGTGATAAAGTTGTGAGGATTTTGCTTTTAAAGTTGAAAAACAGAAAATGTTTTCAACATGAAAGTTGAGTGGATCAGAAAATACACATTTAATAAGAATACACTGGGAACTGAAAGAATCATTATGTCAACTATCAGAAAGCACCCAGGAATTCTCATATATACATATACGTATGAGATGATTTGTTACAAAATTACGTAACACTGCAAAAGATCAAAACTTCCTTAATGACTTTCAGTAAGGAACTTAATAAACTGAGGCACACCTCTACAAAGAAATACTGTGCATTGGTAAATAAAAAAAACATGAAGATCTAAGTACTCGAATACAGAAAGAGCTTCAAGATATATGAAAAGGGACCAGCAGTTAGCGTAATGGCTATGTCACTGGACTCCCATGTAGTCGACCATGGTTTGAGTCCCTGGACCCGATGGCTTAAACTCACGCCGGGTGTGTGTGCGTGCATGCCCAAGATCTTGGGAGGAGAAAGGATTGCGGCGTGGCCATCCCCCTTGGGGGTGATTTCTTGCTTTCTGTCTCTCTGTCTCTCTCTCTCTTTCTGGTGAGTACACGCGCCCTATAGCAAAAAAACTCTAAAAAAAAAAAAAAAGGATATATGAAAAAGGCCCAAGGAGTTCACAGTGTGCAAACCTTTATATCAACAGGAGGCTCCCAGGTACACGTACACAACACAACACAACACACATCAGTCTCTGGATGAATAAACCAGTGAGGTAGGGAACTGAGAAAAGTAGGAGTGGTTATTGGCTGATAATAAATGTCATAAATCATTTTCCAGTAAATAAAGCTGAAAAAAGGAAGCTGTCGTTGTACACCACAGGCCACTGCACCTAACGTAACACAACGCCCCTGCTGTGTGCTGGGTGGAAGAATTGCTTCAACTGATGCATTTTTCCCACATCAAACTGGCACTTCTTCCATTCTGAATGTGGCTTTAAGAGGAAGCCTAACCAAGTGGAATCCATCTGGTTTCAGCTCAGACGAGACAGTGGAGGCTGAGCTGTTTAAGATCAATCGACTCTTCGGGCTCTTTGGCTGCTGCCACTTACTTGGTCCAGGGTTTGCATTTGGCCGTGGAAGAAAAGGCATCTGAGAAGTACCCTGCGAGGCAAGGCGTGCACACCGTGTCCTTGTTGAGCTGCACTGTCAGAAAGGAGGGACAAGAAGCACAGGGCACTTAGAGATCGGCTGGGATGACATCAAAGGACTAGCGAGGAGGAGCTGCCCCTGCTTCAGTCCCCACACCCCTGCCCCTCCGCCTGCAGGGCACCTGTCTAATTGCTTCGGCTCCCACAAACCTGGGCCCACATCGCTGTTCTGACGTCAGCCATGAGTACAGAATGGTGTTCAGAAAGGGAACTGGCTCAGCATCGGGCCACTAACACCAGAGTCTGAGGTTCAGGTCCAGGCTCTGGTCTGGATCCTTCACTATTCTGAGCCATTGTCCTGGTCAAACCTAGCTCTGGTGCCAGACCTCTGGGATGCCAAATAAAGCGCAGAAATACAGACCAGGCGAAGCTCCTACCCTGAGAGCACCCATACAGCTCCTTGCCCTCCTTACCTATCAAAGGCAAGAGACTTGGGGCATTTGGGACGAGGCTGAGTTGTTCTGAATTCACATACACCGACGGCGAGGCGGGAGTGGCGTTTCCACTCATCCCCACCCTCCCTCTGTCCCTCTATGGTTAAAGAACGCATCACTGACAAAGGCGCAGAGAAGAGAGAACATCAGCCAGAAACCCTTGAGGCAGGAGCATCTTACCTCACATGGGGACAAAGTAGGAAGGCTCTAGAGTAAGAATTCAGAGGGAGCTGGCCATGGTAAGGAGGTTTACTTTAATAACTGAAAAACAAATCAGACTTTTCCCAAGAGAAAAGTGTAGCGTGCTTAGATTAGCCAGTACATCTGATAATAAGGACCGGCTATGCCAGGTAGACTCTGTGACAGACATTTTCCTCATATGAACAGGGAGAATAATATTTTAATTCTCCTAAACTTGTCCAAGTATTTTAAGTCAAAACAAGGAATCCCTAAGTGAAAGATGAACAGGTATACACGTATATTTGTATATGTTTGTTATGTTCTGAAAGAACGACTTTGTCCTAGGCTTCCCAGTAGTCAAGAAAGCAAATGACTCTTCAAAACATTTTTCCAAGTCAAAAGGATTTCTATTTTTGCAATTTTGACCCAAAAAAGGACACGATCGAGTTTTCAACCATTAGATCATTACAAATAACTTGTGCTGTCACCTCACTGTCACCATGGTCATATCATTCATTAGGCACTGAAGTAACTGAGGGCCACTTTCTACAACAGAAGTCTTTCCCTGGCCATTTAGTGACTGAAGTAAGTGTTCCAGCACTTTGACATATAACAAAAAGTGGAAATAGAGTGGGTGTGGAATCTTGTCGCATTTTAGCAGTTAGTGATACTCAACCTTGAATATATGAATTGGAAAAAAAATCCCACTGATTATGAAGTTCAAAAACTTTTATAATTATCCTATAGCAAAATATATTTATTTTCGACCAACTGTATAGTAGTTAATCTAGTGATAATGCAATCCAGAAGAAATTTGTTTTATTAGACAGGTCCGGCCATGTCGTCAGCCTCCTACTTTAGCCTTCCCTGCCATAGCACTGGCTTTTAGGGTGCCAGGAATCCAGCTGGGCTTCTCCTGTGGACTCGTCTTGCCTACTAACAGTGTCAACAAATGTGTACCACCCCAGCCAGGTCCCCCCACCCCCCCCCAAAGTATTTTTAACTGTTAGGGCCTTGATTTAGAGTACATTTTAAAAACTGAGTCGGGGGGCCAGCAGGTGACATGATGATTAAGACGCTGGACTCCCACATGGTAACCACGGTTTGAGTCTCAGACCTGGTGCTTGTTCTCTGTCTCTCTCCCCCTGTGTGTATCTGATAAGCACACGTGCTCTAGAGCAAATTTTAAAACAATAATAAGTAATTCTGTTTAAAAATTGAGTATGAAAAGCCCTCCAAGAATAAAAATATATTAGGATAAAATTCTGTAAAGAAGGTGGAATGGACGCAAAGCAAAGGAGAAGAAGAACTATATAAATTAATTTTCTGGGACCAGCAGTTGGCGTAATGGCTATGTCGCTTGACTCGCATGCCAAGTCCCGGACCCCTGTGGCTTACACCCACACCAGGCATGGCCATCCCCCGGGGGGTGGGGGGTGATTTCTAGCTTTCTGTCTCTCTGTCTCTGTCTTTCTGGCGAGCATACAAGCCCTATAACAAAAACCTCTCTGAAAAAGAAAAAACAAATTTCCAACAGTTAAAAATGATGGAGGCATTTTTAAATGGAAGCTAGTAGGTCCCCCACTGCTTTGGTGTTTGGATTACACTGAGTATTCCTTAGTGCTATTGCAGTTCTACTTCCCTCCAAACAAGTCCTGAGCAACTCATTATCTTTTAGACGTCATGTTTAGAAGGTACGTGGGGGGCGCGGTTTTCCAAAATTCTGAGGGGGAACACGATTGTTCCGCTGACTCCTAAGTGGCGATCCTAGAGCAGAGAGCCACGGTGATAGGTACGTGGGCTGCCTGCAAGCGCTGCTTTGTAGATCCTGCTGGGGGTCACGCTCAGGTCTTGCCTGGGCCTGCATCTTGGGGGGAAATCAGGGAGCTCCTCAGGTTCCTCCAGCGACACCTGGCGCCCAGGCACATTAAAGACGCAGTTACTGGAGCTGTGCCCCGGGTTCAAGGGCATGGCTCAGCAAGGGCGGACAGACGCAAGACGCACAGATCTAACCGTACAGGGGTGCTGGGCGCCAAAGCCCGGGGCGCACTCGGTGTTGCGGCGGCAGCATCCGCAGTCCTGGCTCCAGTGGTAGCCGGTGGTGCAGGCACAGCGCCGCGGGGCCGTGCGGTTGCCGGGCTCCACGGCCACCAGGGCCTTGCCTGCAGGAGAAAGAGGCCAGGTCAGCCACCAGACAGAGGCAGGACGCACAGGCACTCCCTGGCCCCCGCCGGGGGG